ATGTGTCCTGTTTAGGGGTTTCCTGATAAGTAAATTTCAGTCACTTCCCATCTAATTATTTCTCCTGGTGATAATAAAATAGAAATGCCCTGAAATAAGAAACACATCTCTCAGCAGTAGAGATGATGCTGTAACGGCAAAATATGTACTTCAACTCTCCTGGATTTTAAAGGAGATACCAAAGTACTGCTATCGATATTGAGTGATAAATATCTTTTCAAATATTCAGTAATATTTTACTAAACTTGTTTGGATAAAAGTAGATAGAAGAGTGATTTGAGGACTTTGCCTGGCTTTCATTATGGACGGGGTTAGTCAGTTCTTTCAAGACTGTACGCATCATGACAATTTCTATACACTGTCTTAAGAGTTCAGATATTAACCTTTCCTTTTTCTTGTCTTGCAGATACAGGCAATCCATTTGTAGAGATGCACAGTGATATACCTAAAATAATACACATGTCTGTGGGAAGAGAAATGATCATTCCATGCAGAGTCACAGCACCAAACGTTGCTGTTACATTAAAAAAGGTACCTCAATCCAAGCATGCTCTGAAAGTGTTATTGTGGATGATGCTTTTGTTTGTTTGCTTACAACTATTGTAATGCTTTTGAAATATTTAAACAATTTAGTATTTTTTTAAACAAGGTTTCTGGGTGTCAGCGTGTTTAGAAACATTTCGACACTGGAGGCTTCATCTCATCTCTCACAGAAGGAATGCATCAAATCTCTTACTCTGGATGGGAGCTTTTTTTAAGAAACTTAAACTTTTCACAACAGTGTATTAAATTTTCACTGACAAAGGTTTCTTAAGCCCAGGAAGGAATTTCTTGTCAGGAGAAGGTATTCCCTCCCACCTCTTCCCCTGCCCTTCCTCCCCTTTCCTCTTCTGTCCTCTGGAACAGCTGGTAAGCTCAATCTCTGGAGCCTTGCTGGGGCTATACAAGGATCTCTGCAAACCTTTGCCCTGCCTCACTCCCACTGGTGACTTTGCTGCTTCCTTTTCCATATGAGTGCACTTATCAGACAGGGGAGGCTTCTCTTTGCAGGCAAACTTGTGTAGAGTTTGAGACGGTGAGAGCAGTTTTAGAAAATCTAGACATTTTTCATGTTTTGGGGAAACCATTTCTTTCCTACGTTCCTTGAGAGTTACATGGACAGCTAACTGACCTATATGTCTGTAGTAAAGTCCTTGGTATCAAGAAAGAGAACGGTGCTCCTTTTGTTAAAGTTCCTTTGTTTGCCTTAAAAATTAGGTGGAGGTACCAGTGATGTTTTGTTTCTAAATAAGAAGAGTTCTGTACATAGTGGCATAAATGTTCATCATTGTTACAAGGAAAAGAAATTTGTCTTTTTACATAATAACATGCAATTGATGAACAATATCACCATAAGATGCTTCTCTAGATCAGTACAAATCTTTTATTCCTCTGACTATAAAGTTTTACAGCAGCCACAGATTTGATTCTGTGTTTTAACTTGACCTAGAGGTTTACAAATTCTATCCAGTGCTGCTTTGCTAACATAGATACTGATTTTTGCCTTTTGATTTCTACCTGTTAAATCACATGAAAGCAAAATGCAAAGAAAAGAAAGTAATCAGACCTAGGATGTTACTGTACGCGTGTGTACACACACACACACGATTCTCCTGCAAGAAGTGCACAAGGGCTAGATGATGCACAAGATTCTGTGGCTAAAGAATCAAAAATAGATGAAGTGTGGCTTTCCATAAGATGGATGTTGTAAAGTGGGAACTTAATTGGACACTGTATTGTCACATCTGAAATCTCAGCATGTTAAATTCCTAACTAAGAAAATTCCTGTTAGTTTCTCTCTTATTAAACAACAGGAAAAATATTTTTTTTTGCTTTATTTGGAGAAGATTGAGACATATCTACTCTCTTTTTTTCATATCAACTTGCCTTTAGCTTGGAGTTGCGGTGTAAGACACATCTTTACACCATCAAAACCAGATGTAATGCTCTAGGAAGGAGAAAGAGGAGTTGTAGCCAAGTCTTGAAAGAAAGGATTGGTTGCTTACATGTTTTGCATTCCAGGAAAAATAAATGTGTTCTCCAATTCATCCCAGAATTTCCTGAAGTGTGTAAGCTACAATGTATTACATCATATCTTACTTTATTTATCATCTGTGAGACTCATGTATGAAGATTCCAGCAAGTTTTTACTCTCATAGCAATTAAGAGATGTGTTAAATGCGTTTCACAGCTGCAGGCAAACTACTTCTGGAGAGCTGGCAAAAGCTATTCTTTTCTATTTAGCAATAAAGGAAGAAGTCAGTGTCCCCCTAATGCAATCCTCTGGAGCTGGAAAGAAAATCCCAGCATTAGAATCATTAGATTTTGTGTACTATATTGCCAGGAAGTCAAAATATTGACTATTTTTTGGTAATCTGTCTTCTGAAAGGACTTGTTGGGACAGTTCCATGAGCACTACCTCCAGCATTTTATTCCTGTGCAGTGCTACTTCTTAGTTTTAGTGGGCCAAGGTCAGGAAGGCTTATTGTCTATTTTCAACATCACAAATTATTTTTTTACTAAAACCATGTCTTTACCTTAGTCAACCCTTTTGAATTACTGTGTTGCTCTAACTTCCAGGCTGAACATCCGTACAAATTGTATTCTATAGCACGGCAATCATATACAACGTAGGAGGAGTCTTAAAAATCAAGAAGCCAATAAAACAGGGATTGGGAAATGGGGATGGAGCTTTTCATTCCTATTTCAAATACAGCCTGCAGATCTGGTTATAATCTATATCTGCAACAGCTGATAGCCCTTTCTCTTCTTCATCATATGAAGACCTGTGAAATCAATTGATAGTTTTGTTCTAATGCTTAATAGACATCCAGAGCCTCTGAAACCATTATTCTTATCAATATGATTCTGACAGCTTCATTCAGGATCCCTAAAAGAAGATAAACCTTATTGCAACTGAGGTATGCACTTCTCTTGCCTCTTCATTTGCTCTTATTTTGCTAAACAGAGAAAGCATCATCTTTTGGTACAATGGTTTGATCCTTCTGTTTATTCTCCTTTTGGATTCTCTGTCATAAAATCAACAATGACATTCACAGGAATAGAAGTGAATAAGCTTCAGCATGAGAAATAAAAAAAAAAGGGAAAAACCCCAAGAATGTTGAAAGTCACACACCTGGACAGTCTGAATTCTTAATAATGCCACCTCATCCTTCCCAAATTGGTGAATGGGGAAACACAAAATAAAAGACAAACATTCAAAACTCTAATACACATTTTTACTATACTTTCAGCTGACTCTTTCCAATACAATCTGCCTTTGGAGACATTGGGAACCACAGCTTGACCATATGCATACACCCAAAACCTTGTGGTAGTACTGTGTTAATGCCACTGGGTGTTACTCACCAGCCTGGGCTGCGGCTCCAAGGATGTCATTGCATCTTCCACAGCCAGGAGGAAATGGCCCACCTTTTGTAGGCAGCGCCTAAACCTTAATTAGATAATTACAAGCCAGCTGGGTAATAGCCATAATTGCCCCTTTTTGTTTTACAGGGTTTTTGTTGTTGTTGTTTTCAGGAAGGCTTTACGGTGAGCAGAGACCCAATTCATTCATTCCAACTCCAGCTTACTTCCCTCTTTTGGGGTAGCAGCTTCACCTTCTTTATCGAAGGACTTCTGGCTCCGGCTCTTTTGGCTCAGGCTCTGGCGAGGGAGTCGGGGTCGCAGTCTTCAGGGTCTCTAATGAAGGTATCATGTCAGGGTCACCAGTTGTTGCTCACCAGCCTGGGCTGCAACTCCAAGGATATCACTGCATCTTCCACAGCCAGGAGGAAATGGCCCGCCTTTTGTAGGCAGGGCCTAAACCTTAATTAGATAATTACAAGCCAGCTGGGTGATAGCCATAACCAGGTACCAAAAAAGTTCAGTGGTTGGTGCTGAGCAAAGGAGGAGGCACAGTCTATACCGAAAGAAACTGAAGTCTAGTTTGAAGCTAAGTACAAAGAAGGTAAAAGGCCAAGACTGCACTGGGAGCCACAGCGATGTGGTTCATGCAGATAAGTATGTAGACAGTAAATTCCATGTTTACTGCAGCTGTCGTAACAAATTGCTTGTTTGAATGCCTCTGACTATCTGCTGGTACCCATCTGTAAGCTATTATTTTAGCTGGATTTATCTCTACTGTTTTAGTGGAAATCTCACTGTTCCAGCACTGTGTTTCTTCACAGCTTTTCTATTTCTCTCTGTGATGACCAAATGGCCAAGTTTTTCAACAAGACCCTCAACTACATTGGCCCTGCTCTGTGTGTGGGATGGACCAGATTACCTCTAGAGGTCCTTTCCAACCTAAATTATTGTGTGATTCTGGGATCCTCTGTCCTGTACCATCCATGCAGTGACCACCATGGTGATGATGCCGTGGCTCTAGGTGATGGCCTGGAAGCTGGTTTAGGGCAGAGCAAAGAAACTGTGCTTCTCTGAGAGTGGGAAGCAGGTCATCTGAACCAGTGGGGCTGACAGAGGAGAACAGTGTGGAGGGGAGCTGGATAAGAAACCAAAGCAAGTAAAGAGAGGGGTTAGAGCTGTGGAGGGCCATGAGAGTGAACACCCAGCCACCGCCCTTGGTCTCTTCTGAGACAAACCCCTGGTATTTCCACCCTTTGAAAGGGTCTTGTTGCAGTATCTTGTTTCCTTGACTTAGCCAGAGACCAGCTGTGTCAGTGGTCCTTCCCTAGTCATAGACTTTAGTTTTCTAAAGTATTCCATACAGTAGATTAAAAATGTCAACTGATGCTTTCGTTTGTAAGTGTGTGCAGCTTTTTAGTCTCAAAGCTGCAAATGACTACACAGAAAGATGTTGCTCTAGCTGGTTTTGAGGAGTGTCGAATGAATAAACTGTGCAGGCAAAGGTTTGCCTCTGGGGCAGCTGAACCTGTTGGATATACAGACAACATTCAGTGTTGCAAAACAGGATCACGTTTATGAGCACTTTTAAGACCCAGACACTTACTGGGTGTTTTGGTTACTTTCCTGTTCCTGGAGTAAGGCTAATAAAAATTCAGAAATCAATCAATTAACTAATTAATGTGAAGTGAATGAATTCCTTGGGCAATGTCAGCCTAGGGAGGCTCTGATGCTCTGACTTGTCTCTCTCTCCATGGTATGTATGAAAACTTAGAAAAGAATATGCTCAGAAATAGTTTGGTTTCCACCAAAGCTGCAAGAGGATAAATCTAACCATGGATTGCACAACTATGAACTAGCTAAACCAAAGCTTGAATATTTGTTTTATTTAGAACAGGAATGACAACAGAGCTTTTAAAGTCCAAGATATTGTTGAATGGTAGCCAGCAGGCTATAATGTAACGGGCTTTACTTGCACATGTGTGTAACACACACTTCCCCTGTGATTTGCATGCTTATTATAGCATCTTATCAGCTGTTGTAAATATAAGGAATTCTACCACAGCATTTTGTACTCTGTAATTATTGTTCATTTGATTCATTGTGCATTTCTGTCAGAGGAAATGGCATGAGATGAGTGGAGGTGATCTCAAGGGCAGCTTTTGGCGTGCGCCGAGCAGGCAGCACTGAGGGTGCCATTTCTGGGAGAGATTCTCTACCATGCAGGAAGGTGCCGGGCAGCTATGCTTCCCCCAGCCTCTGGCAGCCACCCATGCTGGGTTTGGCCGTAGGAAGCAGGAGCATACAAGTCTTCTGCTCAAATAAAGGGGAAGAAAGAGATGAAGGGGACATAGTGAGACTAGGTGCTCAGTGAGAGGAGACGGACTGCAAGGTGTTAAGTTGACCCAGAGATCTTCACTTAGAGCGCTGATTGACTTAAACTCTGCTACGTGTCATCTTTAAAATGGTATTTTTACCATAAAAGCAGGCTTTATAAAAGTAGAGTCACATCCAGGGTTTGTACTCGTGGCTAATCTCTATGTTATCCAAATGGTGGCATTTATTCCATTGATAAGGCATAACAAAAAACATGATTGAAAACAAGAGGTCTTGTCTGAACTTCAATGCCCATGTCATGCTTCGATTTTTCAGGATTTTCTTGATACCTTATTTGGAATGAGACTTAAAACTCAAAGAATCCTAAGGTAAAATATAATTTGTACTGCTGACAAAACAAACAATTTATCTCACATGGCAATATTTTATTCTGATTAGATTTCAGGTCTTTAGTTTAGAAACACCTCATGGCTTTGCACTAATTACTTGTTGGGTCCTCAACTTCTGAGGGACTCGGAGGTGCCAAATTTTTAAAATGTGCTGAACACTTCTACTGTGGAAATGTGATGTATTTAGTGTTTCAAGGTGTCCTTTCAAAATCTCTAGTCAATATGACTTTCCTCATAATGAGGTGCATCCGTGGGTCCTGAGGGAACTGGCAGATGAAGTTGCTAAGCCACTATCCATCATATTTCAGAAGTCGTGGCAATCTGGTGAAGTTCCCAGTGACTGGAAACATAGCCCCCCGTTTTAAAAAGGGACAAAAAGAAGACCCAGGGAACTACAGGCCAGTCAGTCTCACCTCTGTGCCCTGCAAGATCATGGAGCAGATCCTCCTGGCCACTATGCTAAGGCACATAGAGAATAAGGAGATGATTGGTGACAGCCAACATGGCTTCACGAACGGCAAATCCTGCCTGACTAATTTGGTGGCCTTCTATGGTGAGGTTACAGCGTTGATGGATAGGGGAAGAGCAACTGACATCGTCTACCTGGACTTATCCAAAGCATTTGATACTGTCCCGTACGACATCCTTGTCTCTAAACTGGAAGACATGGTTTTGATGGATGGACCACTTGGTGGATAAGGAATTGGCTGGATGGTCGCACTCAAAGAGTTGTGGTCAACGGTTCAATGTCCAAGTCGAGACCAGTGACGAGTGGTGTTCCTCAAGGGTCAGTACTGGGGCCAGTACTATTTAACATCTTTGTTGGTGACATGTACAGTGGGATCCAGTGAACCTTCAGCAAGTTTGCAGATGAAACCAAGTTGTGTGGTGTTGTGGACACGCTGGAGGGAAGGGATGCCATCCAGAGGGACCTTGACAGGCTGGAGAGATGGGCCTGTGAGAACCTCATGAAGTTCAACAAGGCCAAGTGCAAGGTCCTGCACGTGGGTCAGGGCAATCCCAAGCACAAGTACAGGCTGGGCGGAGAATGGATTGAGAGCAGCCCTGAGGAAAAGGACTTGGGAGTGCTGGTGGATGACAAGCTCAACATGAGCCGGCAATGTGCGCTTGCAGCCCAGAAAGCCAGCTGTATCCTGGACTGCATCAAAAGGAGCGTGGCCAGCATGTTGAGGGAGGTGACTCTGCCCTTCTACTCTGCTCTCGTGAAGACCCCATCTGGAATACTGTGTTCAGCTCTGGAGTCCCCAACACAAGAAGGACATGGAGCTGCTAGAGAGGGTCCAGAGGAGGGCCACAAAGATGATCAGAGGGCTGGAGCCCCTCTGCTATGAAGACAGTCTGAGAGAGTTGGGGCTGTTCAGCCTGGAGAAGAGAAGGCTCCTATGTGATCTTCTAGCAGCCTTCCAGTACCTAAAGGGGGCCTACAGGAAAGCTGGAGAGGGACTTTTTACAAGGGCGTGTAGTGATAAGACAAGGGGCAATGGATTTAAACTGAAAGAGGGGAGATTTAGATTGGATATAAGGAAGAAATTTTTCACTGAGAGGGTGGTGAGGCAGTGGAACAGGTTGCCCAGAGAAGTTGTGGATGTCCCTTCCCTGGAAGTGTTCAAGGCCAGGTTGGATGAGGCTTTGGGCAACCTAGTGTAGTGGAGGGTTTCCCTGCCCATGGCAGGGGGGGTGGGAACACAGATCTTTGTGGTCCCTTCCGACCCAAACCATTCTATGATTCTATGATTCTATGATCAGTAGTTCTCAATAAAAGCATCCAAGGAAGTTTTGTGGCTTTAAAACTTTCACTTCATGTTCTATGTAATGGCTTAGAGACATATACTCTGCGACCTGTCGGCTTTGAAACAGCCATTCATGCTCTTAACTTTTTTTTTCTTTTTTTAAACAGTCTAATCCTGTAGACAACATACACGTGAGAAGCATCAGATTCAATTCTGGCAGAATTTGTTAAAGCCACAAAATGACAGCAAATTAAGTCAATTTGTCACCTCCGTTGAAAAATGTGTATTTGTGTCTCACTGGTGAAACCAGGATACTTAATTGCAAAGGTTTGCCAAGAGGAGCTCTTTAGCTGCCAACCAGGAGCCAGCAGAATAGCAGCCCAAGCACTGAGGCTAATGATAGTGTCAATCTATTGTGTCATAAATTACATCCTGTTATAAATAATGAAATCTTGGAAACAAATAAAACATTCACATTCTTCACCCAGATTTTTCCTCTATTTTGTGATGAAAATGTGACTTGAAAAATCTGCATAATTAAATGTCATCCTTTCTATTTTGATTGGCATATTTTAGGGTGTTTTTTTCCTATTCCTTTTTATTAGGCTTTGATTAGAGAGTGGCATGAGGATGAGTTGTTTTTATGACGCATGTTTGACACTTCCAGATTCCACGAGAAACTCTAATTCCTGATGGCAAAACAATAATCTGGGACAGCATGAAAGGCTTCAGAATACCTAAGGCAACCTACAAATTCATAGGGCTCCTGAGCTGTGAGACAACGGTCGGTGGACACAAGTATAGCACGAAGTACCTAACACACCGAGAAAGTAAGTAGCAATCTCCACTCCCTGTCTTTCAGAAAGCACTCTGCTCTGCTGACGTTACCCACTTTTCTTTTTTTTCATCACGTGCAGCCAACACCATTTTTGACGTTCAGTTAAGCACCCCGCGTCTTGTCAAGTTGCTGAAAGGAGACAGCCTGGCAATTAACTGCACTGTCACTGCTGCCTGGAACACCAGAGTGCAGATGACGTGGACTTATCCTGGAGAGGTGAGTGCTGTGGCTGAAATGAAGAAACCAGGGTTTTCCCACAGATCACGCTGCATCCAGCATCCCGGGAAGAATTTTGCCTTGAAATGCTTGCCGTGGTTCACATTCCATTGTTTTGACCCTTGCTGACATGTCTGTAAAGGTTTCTTTTTTTTTCTTTCTGGTGCTTAATTGAATAAGCTAACATGTTTACGCAATGTAGTCTGGTTATATTGCATAATTGTGAGTGAACGCTACAGTTGTTTCATCCCTGGGAGCTTCTTTTCAACCTGGAGAAATGATAGAAATTTATTACCCAGTCCTAGGCAGGGGTTCTTTCTTGTGACAAAAAAAAAAAGCTTTCAGCGAGGCTGTCTTTCTCAACACATTCATTTCAAAGACTGGCAGACAGTCAGGCACCCGACTCGAGCATGTTTAGAAAAGATATTTTGATTTAGCTAGCCAAAATCTCATTTTTTAAGTGTCACATGAACAATCCTCTTGTTTTGACAGCTACAGGAATAATCTTGAATGTGTTTCTCCTCCCTCTACATTGGGAGCATCCTCATAAATATTTGTCACTTAAGAATAACTGCCAGGGAGCCCGTGTAAAGCTGATAAGATACTTGACATTAGTTTAAGGTTTACAACTCCCATTTCTTTCATGTCAGTTTGATTTATGCTGGTGATTCAAGTCAAGATCATTTATTATGTCACTCATTGTGCCTAATCACAAGCTGAAATTATGATTACATTATATAGGGAAGATTAATGCAAGCATTTCTTGTGTACTGTAGCCATTTTCCCTGGCATGTTTTCACCTCAGAAATAAACAACTTAGGAACAAGAAATACTCCAAATATGTTATATATTGCTCATTGCTGCCTTACCAAGCCCTAGCCAGGCACTGTACTTGTTAAATTCTGCTTTGTTTTCACTTGGATGGTAACTGAAGGGTGCTCAGTGTTTATAAGACACCGATGATGTCCTGGGTTAAACAAACTTTGAGGCCAAAGGCTGAGGGGGAGTTGCAGGAAATAACTCCTCAGACACATTATCTTCAGTTCCACCCTGTTATTCCCTTGGCAAATCTAGTCCTTTTGCCGTCTATAGCATTTTCCAGAGTTCTCCCCTTTTTATGTTAATGCTCTCTTCTTCTATACATCTGCTGCCTATGGGCTGAATCCAGGCACCAAACTATGTGTCAGTGACTCCAGGGATTGTTATGAGCAATGCTGGACAAGGCGCAATGGGGAGCCGGGCCTGTTGGTGTGCTAGGCCATGCAGAAGGGATGGGCTTTGTCTGGAAAGAACTAGTTTGGGTGCTATTACAACTTTGGTGGCTATAGGAATCAATTGCCTTATAATGTTACTTCTAATTTTTGTTATTGACCTTCTGGAAATGCGAGGCATCTTTTGCATGTCTGTGCTGAACATAGGGATCTGGATTTTTTAATGAAGATAAGGTGGCAGTACTGTAAAATAAAAATCTTAATAATCACAAAAATTGGTTTGATTAAGATCTTTCTTGTTATTTTTTTGCTTTTATAGACAAGGAGGAGAGGTTCTGTAACACAGCGTATTGACCAGAAGAACGCAGAAGCCAATATTTTTTACAGTATCCTTGTTGTTGACAAAGTGCGTGATATTGATAAAGGCCAGTATACCTGCCACGTGAAGAGCGGGCCATCAATCAAAGCCGTCAACACAACAGTCATTGTTTATGGTAAGAAATGTTGCAGATTTGTAGAATTCTGAATGCTCATCTACCAAGTTCAGTCATACGATAGCTTGACACAAAGTGGAAGTGAATTTATAGCTCATTCATCATTGACAGAAAAAGGAAGCAGACGAGAGAGAATACGTGCCTTTTCTTCCATGACTGTTTAGTATTGTTGGCGGTAGACATGTTAATGTTAGTTTGATCACTTGTCTGCTAAATACTGTGATGACCCTGTCCTCTGTCAGTTCTGGCAGAAACGATGAGTTAAACTGTAGTTTGGGAGAAAGAAAACAAAAAAAAAAACAACAAGCTGAATTTAAACAGCAGAATCCTACTTCCTCTTCTACAGTATTTTTTTTATTGTTTGCTATGAAAAATGAAGAAGAAAAAAAAAACATCAGCTTCACCTGGAGCAGATAGCTGCTAGACCATTCAAAAAACAAGCACAAGATACCACAACTCATTAATGTGATTTTACAGTTGGAATCTTAAACAAGTTCCCTATGATCTGCCTGGGCTTCCTGTGAGACATGGAAATTCCTTGTATCTTTTCAAGCTTATGTGAATTAGGACTTTTGTGAATTAGGACTCTATAAGAAGCTACCTTCTTTATGGCATCCTGTTACAATCAGGACTATCCAGGATCTTTGGAGCATTGTTGGTATTAATGAGCAAGTGGTTGGTGGGTCCACCTCTACAACAGATGAATAATGGTCCAAATATTGTTTTGTTCTATGTTTTCAATGGTCAATCTTTTGTCTTTCATCTGAAAGTACGGACTAAGCATCAGATGATGGTATTAGGAGAGGGCTGGAGCACTTCTCCTATGAAGACAGGCTGAGAGAGTTGGGGTTGTTCAGCCTGATGAAGAGAAGGCTCTGGGGAGACCTTCTAGCAGCTTTCCAGTGCCTACAGGGGGCCTGCAAGAAAGCGAGAGAGGAACTTTTTAAAAGGCCATGTAGTGATAAGACAAGGGGTAATGGCTTTAAAATGAAAGAGGGTAGACTTTGATTAGATGCAAGGAAGAAATTCTTCCCTCTGAGGGTTGTGAGGCCCTGGACCAAGTTGCGCAGAGAAGTTGTGGATGCCCCATCCCTGGAGGTGTTCAAGGCCAGGTTGGATGAGGCTTTGAGCAACCTGGTCTAGTGGAAGGTGTCCCTGTCTATGGCAGGGGGGCTGGAACTAGATGATGTTTAAGGTCTCTTCCAACCCAAACCATTCTGTGATTCTTAGAGAGTATTTCAGTCCATTTTCTCTGTTTAAACCTTGGACTAAGTCACTAGGAACATATGATGAATTGTGATATCAGCTTCTTATATTCTTAAACAGATATGTCTGAAGCTGTTAGAAACTGAATTTTAGATTAAAATTGAAGTCAGAGAAGCTGGAACTGTTGAAGGTAGCCTGTAAACTCTTACTCACACAAGAGTTTTCATCTATGGGATACCCTTATTAGAAAGAGTCTGTGTGAATAAGGGTTCGCAGAATCAGGGTCGTATCCTTAAGTATAACCTGACTTGTGTAATAAAACTACTGAGTTGTCTTGTGCATGTGATTCTCAATGCACATAGCAAGCGTGATTAAATAATGCACTTGTTTAATAGCTATCCAATATCCTTATGCAGTCCATAATGTGAGTAAATATTGCACTATAGGTACTATCAAAAGAGCATTCAATGAATTTTCCATATTTCGAAAGTTTTATTTTGCTTAAGTGCATTTTGGACAAAAAAAAAAAAGATTTTTCAATATATCATACAAATATTCTGTTTTATTGCCTCTGGTAAAACCCATCAGCTTGCCAGAGAGTTTGAAATATGGGGCAGTACAACTGGAAAAGAATAAATTCTAGCAGGTTGAGATTATTCCAATGAAATGATAAAGATTTGTTTGTTTGATGAAACAGCTGTTTTACCAATGATACAGAAAGTTTCTGCCTTTTCCTTTGCTCTTTCTCTAAAGATCCCTTAAATTCTCTCTGGCAGAGTATTTTCTTTTGCAACATTGATTGATTCTCAGTCTTTAGGGGTGGAGTGGTCATCTGCACATCTAGTTCAGCTTCCCATGTACCACAAATCGCCTTATCACTCTTGTGTTGAAACCAGTGCCTTTTTTTCTGACTGAAGTGCAATGTGAATTTTGGCTAGAGTGTATCTTCTCCAGGCAGATTCGTGGCCTGGGAACTGTATCTCAGTTTCTTGTTTATTTGTTGCATTCCCTTACATTTTTTAGATCTTTAGGACGTTAGGTTTTATTCTTGCTGTTGCCATGTGGGGACACCAAAATTAATAAAGATCATTTTTATTTGGATTCCTGTTCTCTTTAGTAGAGCAACTAGTTTTGCAGGCTGAAAAACCAGTAATACAGGTGCACTCTTTCTATTTTCTTTAGACAAAATGTTCATTAATTTGAAACGTCGAAGAAAAACTGCACTGGAGGCTGTAGCTGGAAGAAAATCCTATCGTTTGTCAATGAAAGTGAAGGCATTTCCCTCTCCAGAGGTTATATGGTAGGACAACAATTGCTTCCACATATGCACACTGGACCTCTTCTTAGATGAAAAGTAATATCTTGGTAAAATATTGAGATAAGATCCCTTGAAATGACAACAAATTGGAGACAGTACAGTTGTGGAGTTTTATTGGAAGTTTCAGGGTTGTCCTGGGTTTTAACAATTTATGAGATCACCATCTCCATTTTGCAAGTGCAAAAGAGAAGGTCTGGAAAGTTTAAAGCTCAGATCCTCAAATGCGTTAGATATATTTTAATCACTAGACACTCTACAGCTAAACATCTCTACCAACCTTCACTGAAGTGTTGCACCCAGCTTCACTCAGACCTAGGTATGAGACCTGAACTTGCTTTTTAGATGGTAGGAGAAACAAAAGACAACTTTCATTAGAATAACTGCGTTGAGTCATACAGGCATGCACTATTAGAAAAGCAATGGAAGTTATATGGTGATCTGCAGGTTGTAGATCTGCTTTAGTGACTGGACCTTTCATTTTGGCTCATGTATGTGTGCTAAGAAAGCTTTTGAACAGTTTTTTCTATTAACCCAAACCACTTTTATATAAAACAATGTTATCTATTCATGATCTCAAGATTTTTTGTGTTTAAATCATTTTAAATACCAGTAGCTTTGGCTCAATTCATTGCACTTTAACAAAGGGTCTATGACAAGACTGATTAAGAAAACAAACCATACGTACATGAACAGTGAGAGTTCATGGTACTCACAGCCAGAAACTACTTTTGCTCCAAACATTTTGTTTTGTTTTACAAAACTCTTGCATTTATAGTTCCAAATGGAAAATTAAAGGGCGAAAGTGAAGCTGATGCTAGCCATTTATACAGTATTTCCTGCTTCTTTAATGGTTGGGCTTGTTGACTACACATATAGATCCAAAATTTCTGAAATACAAAAAAAAAATCAATTTAAATAAGAATATTTATTTATTTATATTTATCACTGAGGTTGGTCAAACACTGGAACAAGTAGTCTAGAGAGGCTGTGGAGTCTCCATAATTGTAGATACTCAAAAGCAGACTGAAAATGATTTTGGGCAACCTGCTAGCCTTGCTTTGACCAGGGGGTTGGACTAGGTGATCTCCCGAGACCCTTTCAGCCTCAACTATTTTGTGGTTCTATAAAATACAGATACAGTGAAGTGTCTAAATCCATAGTCCTTAGATCCATTTTTAGTGCTACTCTAATAACTGTAAGAGTTTTCTGTAAATACTTACTAAAACCTGTGAACTGTTTTAATCAAGTCCATCATCATTGTGAAACTCTGTTGCACTCTTCCACTAACATTGTGCAAACCTTCATAGAACAACCTACCAACCTGTGCTTTATGTTGTATTTCAGACTTTAAAGAAAAATGTTGTGCTTCTTCAGGAATCTGTGTGTGAACAACCATTAGTACTTGCCATGTTGATATTCTGTTATCTTTAAAAACATTCACTTAATAGCAGGATATCTGATTCTTAAGTGCTTATCTAATCTACTTACTCTTCCTCTTCCTAAAATCACAGCTGTGCTTAGGCTACTGTCATACTTTGACCGAGGATGTATCCTGAGGTCATAAAGAAATGGTCAGTGCTAGATGATGCAACCTTTATCTATGTGAATGACTCTTAGCCGAAATGGTTGTCTTCTAGACTAAATGGCTGCACAAATGTGGAAAACTAGGATCTTCAGGGACAGAGTTGCAATTTTCAACAACTCTCAAATACTATAGAGTCTTGTCAGATCCTTATAAATTTTAATATATAGAATGGTGTTCTCCAAAGTGCTTTTTAAATATCAGCAATCTTATTTGCAAGGGAAGATTTTGCAAAACAGAATCTGAGACCATAACAATCCTTCCCAAAGACGGAGAAATTTTGTGAAATAAAATATCGCAGGCAGTTTAAGCAACATTATTTTTCAAAATTTTGATTTCTGGAATTCTTTTAAACAGGCTAAAAGATGGACTACCTGCTGCTGAAAAGTGTGCCCGGTACATGGTTAAAGACTATTCATTAATCATCAAGGATGTTGCTGAGGAAGATGCTGGAAACTACACTATAATATTGAGCATACGGCAGTGGAATCTGTCTAAGAATCTTACAGTCACTCTTAGAGTAAATGGTAAGTTTACAGTGTGTTCCCATGCTTCTCCTGAATATGTAAACACTAAATTATCGTTGAGCTAGGTTTTCATTGATCTTGCACAGTTCAGGTCATTGTGGGTGTTCTTACTGACTTTCATGGACCCAAATCCAAGCCCCTTATGTGGGGTGACAGACCCATCTTGGAATCAGAAGACGGACACTGATTTTCATTAGAAGGGTTTCTGTCTTCCACAGTCGCATACTTGTTCCTGATGACTTCAGTATGTTACTAACCACTCATCTGACTTGTCTTAGGCCTACTGTTTTTCTTTATTCTCCTGGGGCTTTTTCTTATTACTCACCCTGCAGGAATGTAGTATTTTCATGATCATGGAATACATTGGAAATGAACTGGTTTTAATTGCTTTCCAATTTTCACCCTTTACAGTGAAACCTCAGATATACGAAAATGCCGTGTCATCATTCCCTGATCCCAATCTGTATTTACTGAGCAGCAAACAAGTGCTGACATGCACTGTGTATGGTATTCCTCAGCCTAAAATTACATGGATGTGGTATCCCTGTAGACAAAACCATTCTAAAACAAGGTAGGACAGCTTCCTTACTTCTATTTAGCATGTCTTCCCTTACACTTACATGTAAATATTTACTTTTTTACAAGAATAAAGCTTGCCATGACCATTGCTTAGTTAATAGCCTTTGAATACTTCTAATAAATGTATTTTTAGTAAAAATGTAGGCGCAATGAGATCTTTTTCTGCATCATTATTTGAAAATGGAGGGCAGAGTTGTTATTTTGTATTGCTACTTAGGTTTATTTACAGTTCACTACTATTCATGCACATTATGTCCAGAGGTGATAATTGTTTTTTTAATTTTTATGAGGGAAGCCTTGCAGACAATGTGTTACAAAATTCCCCATGCTTTCTCATGGGTGAGGTTTCCACACTTTCCTCCATGCTTTCCTCTATGCACAGTGATTCCCCTTTGTGGCTTCTTTTGAAATTCAACAGAAGTAATCTTAAAGACTTTTTCTGTTATGAAGGTCAAATCTCTGTTATGATACGTTGACTCATAGATTGAGTTCGGCAAGCCAAATGTGCCTAGCATTCTCCAGATGATATTTCAACAGGGTAAAATATAAATGGCACAATACAAGCTTACTTGATGCTGATGTGGTACTTAACTAATCCTCTTTTATATTTAAGCTTTCATTTGAACTCTGTTTCTTATGTTTACAAGTTTGTGTATTGACTCATTTATCCAAAGCTCTTCCCAAATCATGAAATCTGACACAATCTTAATGATTAACACTCAACCTCCACAATGGCATTAGCATTAAGCTGCTGATGGAAGGTTCAAACATGCAAGGTATTTGAATCACAGCACAATGAAGATATTTATAAGCCTAACAAAAGTTTGGGAACCAACGTTTTCTCGATTTCAGTTGAAGTTAGTCATTTTGCACAGGATTTAACTACTTCAACACTTTCATAGAATTGGGGTTTAGCTTCAATCCAGGCAAACATTTAACCGCTTGCTTAACTGTAGGGATACAAGACACCTCATTCAATTAAATAGGACAAACGTCTTATTTCAAACTAAGGGTGCTTGTAAGTGCTTTGTGATTAGTGAGAGAGTGGTCAGCACTTCCTGGAAGCACACCTAGTTTTTCCAATCATGCCTTGCTTTTTGGGATTATGCAAATGGTGGCTTTCTGAGCCCTTCTCACCAAGAGGTGGCACTAGCAATCTCTCCTTTTGCTGGAATAGGTATAACCTGAAATCCCCCATTTCCAGCACAGGTGAGTTCTGCATTTCCTCTATCTCTTATGTTACCTTTGAAGGACAAGTCGCAAAATTCTAATTTATTTTTGCTTGTAGATGCAAGATGTAAGAGAAAAGAAACCACAACATCCCTTAAGTAGCAAAACCCTGTGAAAGGCGTCCATGAAAATTTTCAATCTTCTAGTTTCTGTTAGGTGTTTATACATCTATGAATGTTCTGGATTGAAAACATAGTTTGGCACTGATAAAACAGTTGGTTCTTTTTTGGGAGTTGGGGTGATGCTTGTCCATTGTCAAATATTTCCTCCTGTTAACAAGCACAGATCTATACTACAGCTGAGGACAGCGTGTCATTAGAAACAGAAATCAATATCCTCAAGCAGGTGTTTAATAATGTGCTAAACTGTAGACTCAATTAAATGCTAATTAGAAGGGTGTTTGAGCAGGTGATCAAAGGAGAAGTATAACAATTTGAATCAGCTATTGGCTCTGTTACAAGGTTGTTTCCAGACTTGCTTCCAAATTGCCTTCATAATTGTTCTGTGACAATTCTCTTTAACCCCCTCCTCTTCCTTCTCCTTTAAATGCTCATTGAAGAAGTAGTCTGGAGAACACCATTTTTAATGTTTTGCCCAAGACGAGCGGAATGACTCCCTCTGAATAACATGGTGACAATTAACTATCGCAGAAAGGCAGAAATACCTCGATCATTACATGTTGTCTCTTGCTGCAGGAAGGGAGCAGACTGGACTGCCTCAGCAGCTTGCTCAGGCTGATGTCTGTGTCAGTTCAGATGTTCTCCCTGAAGAACTGGAGGACCCTTCAATCTCACTTATTTCACTATACTTTCCTCTTTGTGTGAAGGGAGGATTGCTTAAATAAGAGATTTAAGATGTGTGTACCTTGTGCAGCAGATGAACAATGTATCTTATTCTGCCATTACAGCATTTCTTTGGATTTACCTGCCCAGTGTTAGGTTTCCAAGACTAAAATACTACTCCATTTGTGCTGAAGTAGTGCCTGTTTCTGTGCACAGATGTACCTTGTGGGAGTTGATAAACTCCCGCAGGTTACCGTTATTCAGTGTATGGCAGTAGGAATTCTCATCAAGTTTGAGCACACACTCCAAGTAAAAAGATGATGTTGCTACAAAGACCTTGCAGTGCACAGATATGTTTGCTTCAAGATTTGTGTATGTGTTTAACTTTAGATCACTTGAGTACTATCACTGCAAGCTAGGGAATAATGCATAGTGCATGAATTAGGTGGTTTCATTTTTGAAGGACTGTTGCCTATGGGTTCCCTAATAGAAACCATTAGGTTATTTGGCTGCTTTTTTCAATCTATCTTCTAGATAGTATTTCTGTTTCAAAAATCTAAAAATACCTCAGTTAAATAAAACGCAGGTACATTTTAATGCTTTGTGATTAATACAATACGTTTGCATAACTCTTCTCCCTACATCATGCAGGCCTGTAACAGGAGGCCAGCCAAATCAAATAGTTTCCATAATTTCCTGGTAGCAAATTAAAAAAAAAAAAAAAGCTGTAAAATTGCCTAACGAATGTGACTTTTTGGAATGTGGAGAGACCAACGTAATTAAAATTCTCTGTTCTTTATTCTGTTGAAATTGCTTTGCTCAAACCAACTCTATTGCCATTAAATAACCTCTTGTTAGTTAGCTATCTAACTAGACAGGTAGACGGAAAGATTCTCTTTTGATGTTCACCCCAGCAAGGAGACATAGAATAGTCAGAAAAACTGCCTGGGGCAAAGTAATATTTTTGTTTTTTTTTTTTTAAAGCTTAGGCAGAGCTAGTAAATTCAGAGATGGCAGGCAAAAGACAGTAGAAGATGCAATGAGAGTTAAAATAAATGCAATCAGAAAAAAATTAAGATTATCATAGAATCAATGGTTAGGTTTGGAAGGGACCACAAAGATCATCTAGTTCCAACCCCCTGCCATGGGCTGGGAAACCCTCCACTACACCAGTTTGTGTCCATAACACCACACAACTTGGTTTCATCTGCAAACTTGCTGAGGGTTCACTGGATCCTGCTGTCCATGTCACCAACAAAGATGTTAAATAGTACTGGCCCCAGTACTGACCCTTGAGGAACACCAGACATTACTGGTCTCCACTTGGACATTGAACCGTTGACCACAACTCTTCGAGTGCGACCATCCAGCCAATTCCTTATCCACCAAGTGGTCCATCCATCAAAACCATGTCTTTCCAGTTTAGAGACAAGGATGTA